GAATGGCGGAGGTAAGTTCTCGCCCCGCAGTCAGCCTGGATCCCCTCTATCCGGAGCCCCTCGGGCCCAGTGCTGGTCACCCCCTTGTGCTGCGGATGTCTGTGTCTCCTGCGCTCCATCAGGGCATCGCTCCGGAGCCCCCGCTACCTGCTGCAGAACCCTGCGCACCGCGGGCACCCAGGAAATCCCTTATTTACCTATGATGTACAAATTAAATGTTTACCTTATTCCGACCCAGTGCTGGGCAACCATGGAAAGAACTACAAAGATAAATCTCTCATGGTCTTTTTATTCCGGGGTTTCAAGCCAGCTGGGGAGTGCTAAGTCAGGGCATAACATTTTAGGACTTAGAAGATCCGTGGGAGGTACTACGTAATAAACATTTGTGAAACATTTTCTCTGTGCCTGCAACTATAAGAATGATCGCGATTTCAATAGGTCGCGTAGGGGGAGAGAGTCCCAGACAGAGGAAATAAGGAGGGGAAGAGAAGGCTGGAGCCCGGCTTGGAGCCCAGCAATTTATAAGGAGAGTAGCAAAAGCTACACTTGGAAAAGTAGCCAAGGGGCAGGTTGCAGTGGTCCCAAAAATGCCAGCTAGGGAATTTAGATTTTATTCATCTTGCAGGATGGATTAAAGAGAAGCAGAGCCGTTACAGAGGAAGAGCCATTAAAGGCCAGGGGAGGCTAGGGTTGCAGACTGAATCCCAGTTTGGGGCTTTTTGTTCCCCGCCCCACTCCCCAGCCCCTTCTGAGCTCTCTGGCTCCAAGACTGGCAGCAAACACGGATCCTTGCAAGTGACTCAGCAGGCTTCCCTGGCCTCTCTGAAAAGAAGTCTCAAAGCCAGAGTGTAAGCAGTTCGTATGCAAACCGATACCCACGCCCCCCCACCCCGCCCCCTGCAGCTGGCGTTTCACTGGCATTCATTCTTTCAGCGCTTATCAATCACTTACAATGGCACCCATCGCTGCCCAAGGTCTTAGCTTTATTCAGTCCTGAAGGCCTGTACTGCATGCACATTCCATGCCTTTTGAGTTTGTCCTCACCCCCTTCTCTCTGAGGCAAGAGAAAGTATCTATTTTCATCACCACCCTCATTCAAACCTTCCAGCTACCGAGGCTGAGGTTTGGAGCAACAGCCTAAACCACCAGCTGGAAGGCTGGGCACTGAGCACCGCAACACACAGGGTGAAGAACATGTCTTCTTTGTAAGGCACAAGTACTTGAGCTGTTCCCTGGCTGTGTCCCCGGCAGGAAGAGGAGGGAGGACATGTTCACGGGGGTGTACAGTATGCCTTTCCCTGCTGTACCCAACAGGCCTGAGCAGAAAACACTTTGTCCTGATGCGACAATCTGTGAGCATCCTTACCCAGGTGTGTGTGTGGGGGGGGGGCGGGGGGAGGGAGCAGGGTGGTTGAAGAGGAGAAAGGGGCTCTTGATAAGTGGCTGAGGGCTCCAGCTGGAGCTCTCCAGTCTCCCAGACACATGAAATGAAGGCTTGTCAAGGTGGAATCTCCCTTGGGCAGGGAGCAAGCAACAGAGAAAGAGCTGTTAGTGGGAACCACAGTTTGTACATGAAAGAGTATTTATTGAAAACATGGTTACTGACAGGAAGCTCCTGGCTGCTCTCAGGTTACAGTCTTGGCTCACAACTACAAATGTTACTTTTTTTGGGCCTCCAATTTTATTTTCCCCTCAAACATTCCATCCTAGGATAGGTGGATCTTATATAAATATATATACATGTCTGTATAAGTATGGCCTATAGTAAAGAAAATATATAGTACACTCTTCATTGGGCAGTACCTACCATGCCAGGCTACCAATACTCAATGCCACTGTGTTCACTAAGTCCAAGGAGAGAGACCGCGCGTGTGGTTTACAAGTGCAACAGCACCAGGGAAGCCCTGTTGGCACAGCTGTGGCCTCAGCCAGCCCCCTGAAATCATGGTCAATGGCAGGAACCACAGCGCTGGGATGGAGAGGAAGGGAAGGCAAACTTCCTGAGGTCTGGAAGCCCAAAGGAAAGCGAACTGGAGGAGGCTGCAATTCAGTTTAGGTGGGAGATTTCTCCCCCAAGAAGGTAAAGATATAAATGTTGGGGGAGGGGGGGCGGAATCTAGGCTCATTGAACCGGGCTCTCTCTCCAAAGTTCCTTGAGACTGAGAGGTTTGTAACTTAGCCCTCATGTCTTTCACTTGCCGGGATGAGGGACTGGGAGCTTGTAGGGAGAAATTTCCATCTGCCTAGACAACTGTGTGGGCGAGGGAGACCTGGTGGCTCCGGAGAGCAGAGATGTCAGAGCCAGACCTCAGCAGCAGCAGCATGTTGGCCCTGTGTGAGGCCGGAGCGAGTGAGGGCAGGGCTTCTGCTTGGATCTGAGACTCAGGCACGGGTCACCGAAAGGCGGCTTCTCCGAGACTCTCAACATGCCTAGCACACCTGTCCTTTGCAGGCAGCCTTTCCTGGGCCAGCTCTTGCCCACATAGGAATCCAGCTGACTGGAGAGCAGGCTCAGGAAGAAAAGGTGAGTGGCTGTTGTTAAATCCAGCTCAAGAAGCAGTTTCTTGGCCTGGAAGGCAAGGGCATCTGCTATTCACTCCTCAAGGCCTGAACCCAGGCTCCACAGGGACCAAGGAAGCTCTGGGTGGTCTGCACTGGATGTGAGGAACAGCTGGCATTTACTGGCCACCATGGTCACTACAGATTCTGTACAAGCAAAAGACAAGGCACCAGACTGTGAGTGTTCTTCCGGGGCCCCAAATCCCTTCCTGGGTACCGTCGCCTCTGGCTCCAGTCTCAGCCGTAGTGATAGACAAAGTCATAGCTGCTGGGCTCCTTGGGCACTGGCGGTGGCGCTTCGGGAATCTGGATGTTCTCCAGGTCCAGGAGCCGCAGCTTCATCTCCATGCTCAGCAGGGTGTCCAGGTCACTCTTGGTCAGCTCGCTGGACATGTCCTTCCCCAGAAGGGCGCTGAGGCCGTCAATCCAGATGCAGTACTGGGGGAAGCAAGTTGCAAAACATCACATGGTGGCCCTGGTCAGCAGGAGGTCCTGCCAAGGTCCCTCTGTTAAGAGGCTTCACACCAGTCTCTTCTGGTACTACTTGGGGATAATAGCACAGGCAAGTTGGGAGCCCTTTTGGTTTTTATGAGAGACTGACACTTAAACTCCCTAAAATAATGATTTTTAAAAATGGAATTAAAGAATACAGCAAACGAGATCTGAGAACTGGGGCACCGAGTCCTTAAAATTGCCCCTGAAATTAGAAATGGAGGAGGGGGAATACATATATGTGAGAAAACATGACACAAAAGGAACCACTGTGAGACCCCAATTTTCAGAGAAAGTAAATTTTTAAAAAAAATGCAATCAAGAAATGTTAAAATTAAGTACTAGGGAAACTCAACTTGAGAGTCTCATCATAAGAAGGAATACTAGAGAATTCTCAGCCTATCCCTAACAACTCCTGTTCCATCCTCTTCCGTGCCTTTGCTCGCATGTCTCCCCACCAGCTAGTTCTCCATTTCTTCCCAGTAAAACTCCACTGGCTCAGGTCCTGCCTAAGCGTCTCCAGTCTCCTCCTCCAGAAGCCCCGCCTCCAGCTTCCTCTGACGGCTCTCAGAGCTCACCAGAGGCATACGGTCTCAACCGCAGTGACTCATTTAACATCTAGTATTTTCCAGTGCTGCAGATGAAACCGTAAGCCCAGGCCAGATCCACTACACACGGCCAGGACCCCTGAGGAGGGAGAGTCTGTTGGGGTCACTTGGGTAAGTGGCCGGCCTCGCAGAAACTGAGAAGAGGAAGATTTTCCTAGACCCAGGCAAACAGGTTACCCCTAGCCAGCCCTGTCTTTCTAACAACCTACATATGCTGCTGAAGAGTAACCTGGAGAGCCTGGCTCAGGGGTGGCAGATTCTCGGTGTCAAACAGCCATCATGACAGGCTATGGCCCCCTGCCTCTACGGGGACATTGCTGTTCTGTCCGCCCCTCCCAGAGAGGGCTCAGCGGTCTGAGGCAGTGCCCCTCTGCTCACCTCGTACTTATTAGGCGCAATGAAGTTTAAGGTCTCATCGGGGTCATAAAGGATGGAGAAAGCCAATTCCAACACCTCCTGAAGGAGAAAGGTTTCGGTTACTTGGAGCAATGGCCTGGCCTGGGCTCTGAAAAACGAAGATCTTGGCCAAAGTTCTGGCAACTTGGCATCATCACCATGTATTGATTCAGATGTGACGTCATCAAGGCCCCAGAACATGCACACAAGAGCAGCTGGAGATGGGGCCCAGTGGTGATCGACCTTAACTCACCCACTCTCCACCCGAATCACACCTAAGATGTGGTGAGACTTTTAAGATCAGAGAGAAGTCATTCCTCAACACGTGGAAGCTTCTGGATGTCGGAGTCCATGACTGTATACTACCGTAAATACATAGCCTGGTAATTCAACTGAAAGTCTTAACAGTCTAAAAAAAACCCACCACAACAAAAACAAATGGTAGCCAAAGATGGGACAATTTGAACATCAATAACATAACTGTGATGGATTGGAACAAATATAATTTGCTTAAATCCTTGAATTAAATACCAAAAAACAAACAACACATACCCAAATTGGTCACTGATGGATGATACCAGTTCTTTGTTTTAAAAGTAGGTACACAAAAGGAAAGAATCAAGCTTTATCCAATCCTTTCTCATATAAATTGTATCACTGGGAAACCCACAGCAGATGAACCAAGTTTTTCTTCAGAGAAGTAGTTCAGTTAATAAATGAAAAGGACTGACTGCATTAGAATATTACTCGTTTGCAAGCCTTAATTTACTAGTGGAATGAGGCATCGAACATCCACAGTGTGCTAACATCACAAAAACAGAGACGACCACATATCATGTGTCTCCTGATAGAACATAATACCATTTAGGAAGTAGTCTTATCAGGGAAAGAAAAAAAAGGTCAGACCTGAACTGGATCAAGGCTCTAGCTCTCTCTACCGATTTACAGATCTGGGGCAGAGGAATGACTTAAACTAGACCATGGGGAGACAATCAGCAATTTCCAGACTCTGGGAAACTACCAAACAAGCAACCTTGTTTCTTCAACTAATAAACTGCAGAGAAAAAAAAATATGGACAAGATGGAGCGGGAACTTATGAAGTAAGAAACTTAAAAGACTGATCACGATGTGTAGCTCCTATTTAGATTCTGATTTAGCAAACAAAATGAGGATGAGTGTATGTACGTGTATACCTGTGTGTACATACGCATAAACATTTACATATTTTTATACAGAGAAATTATAATATTTATAATACAATGAGTAGAAATTCAAATATTAACAAAATATTTGACATTAAATAACAACTTTTTACTTCTTTTTAGGTGTGATAATGGTATTATGATTATGTTAAAAGAGGCTTTATAATCTAGAGATACAGTCTAAATATCTACAGATGAAATGATATAATAGTTGAGATTTTCTTCAAAGTAATAAGGGAGAGGGACAAGTAGATGGGCAGAATTTGCCATGGTTGTTGAGGCTGGGTGATGCATATCTGCGGGTTCTACCTATTTTTGTATATATTCAAAATTGTTCTTCATAAAACATTCAGGAATAATTTAAAGGGAGACAGAATGCGGGCAAAGAGCATGGCCCAACTGTCCTCTCCAGGTCTCACGGTGACTCAGACTTGGGACTCACCTTGTTCTGTTTCAGAGCACTTTTCTCTTTCATGTGGGGACAATCTTTCCCAGTGACAATAGCCTTAATGTCTGCAACAGGAACTGAAAAATGAAGGGGATTAGTCTCTGGAAGCTTTATGCTGCGTGACGCCCCAGCCCGCCCTCCTGAAGGGCCACGTTAGCTCAGGCGCAGGGCCTTGCATTGCTCGCTCCCCCGCAGTGAAGTCCCACGAACTGTGGCTTGCTGGGCTGTGTCAAATCTACCTGGGGGTCACTTCAGGGCTTTTGGGTTGTCTCCCCAAGGCATAGGCCTCTGACACTCACCTCACTTCCATTTCACAGTAAAGACGATGACAATGCCACTACGGCAAAAAGCAGTGGAAGCAGCTAACGGTTTCGCTTGGTACACACTCGCCACTGTTCTAAGTGCTCTACGTACACTACTCATTCCATCCTCTTATGAGGGAGGTGTAGCTATTATTCCCATTTGACAGAAGAAACCAAGCAGAAGGGAAAATGAACTTGCAATCAATTAGAATTAGTAGCGAAGCCAGGATTTGAATCCAGGCAGTCTACTCTTCACCACCACCTTTCAACTTAGTCTTGTATCACCCTTTATAGTCTGCGAAAGCCACTCCCATCTCTGATCTCACTGAATTCTCCAAGCAGCCCTATGAGGTATTCCAGGTAGAGATGGCCTCTGATGGTCGAGAGAGAACTGGCCCATGACCAGATACTCAGTTCGAAACAGCCAGGACTAGAACGCTCCTGACATGGAGTCCAGCTATCAGGACACAGCAACAGAGAAATGAACCTACTTTTCTCCTGCAGGGATTCAAATGTCACCTCCCCTTGAGGGTTGTCATCCAAGTCACCATAGTGCAGGACCTTGTGGTTCAGTGCCAAGCGGCAGTACCAGAAACGTTCTGGAACACAAGGGGGGCCAAGCAGGTGAGCAAGGACAGGTGTGGGAAAGGCCTGGGCACACAAAGGCCAAAGGATGACTTGTCCCCGCCTTCTCCCTGCAGGCTCCGTCCCCGAGCAGTGGCTCGGGGCAGCAAGGGCCCACTGGTGCCCCAGGCCCCCCTCACCTTGCCTTCGGCGATTCCCGATCTTCCGGAAGCTGCTGCCCTCACAGAGCCGGTTGAGGCGCTGCTGCTTGATCAGCTCAAGGATCTCGGGCTGGATCTTCTCCCTCAGCTCCCTGGGGTGGACACGCAGCAGAGTAAGGAGAAGGTCACGGCAGAGCTTTTGAAGGAGGGCAGAGCTGGGTCTGTCCCCGCCGCCCCCACCCCGGGATGGCACTCACACGATTGGCGGGGACTGAAAGTCATCCTGACTCATCCTCTCGGACTGGCGCAGTCGCAGGATCTCAGAGTAGCTCAGGCTGCGCAGTTTGCTCTTGAACTGATCCAAGGAGCTGGGCTTGGAGGGCAGGGCACGCGTGATTTGCTCTCGGACCACTTGCATGACCTGAGGGGAGAGGAAAGACGCGGCCACCTCACCCTGCTCTAGACATGGACGGGCCACTTCTGGGCCACCGAGGCTCTGCCCTTGCCCGGGGACTCGAGCACAGCAGGCACTACAGATATCTACTGGGGGAACAAAAGTACTGATTTTCTAAGGTACAACTTTTTAGATGGTTATTTAGGACAAATGGCTGGTGACAAATGCTTCATTTCTCATAAATTTCAATTAGTTGGTGGTATAGTAGGAGGAGCACAGGTTTTTGGAGTCAGTGAGAAATGGGTTCAGATCTTGACTCTGCCTGTTAATCTGCTCCTTCAGCAAGTCACTTAACTTCCTCAGGCCTCCATCTACTCTTTAAAGCAAAAGGAAAAAAGACACATCTTCTGATCTGCTGCCTGAAGGATTATGGGATGTTATATGGAGGCGCAGTGCTGGCACACTGTGGGGTGTTCCAAAAATGTGCTACTTCCCCTAAAACAACAACAGTTAAAGGAAAAAACCAGGATATCACACTGCACGTCCAGGCAGCTCTCTGCCGATGAAGGAAAGATCTACAGGTAAAAAAAAAAAAAGACTAGAGGGAAACATAACAATAATTGTCACTGGGTGGGGGAATTATAGAAAACTTTTTCTTCTTTATACTTTCCAAATTTTTTATGATAAGATGCGCAGCTTCAAAATCAACTCCTAGATTGTCAGCTTTTGAGGGCCTAGCAGGGCTCTACAGAGAGTAGGTACTCAGAAAGCATCGAGGAGTGACCACTGAGTAGGTACCTATGGCTTGCACTACATGCCAGTCCACTCCGACCTCCCCCTACCATTTCCGGTTCACGAAACCGCAGCAGTGCCTTACACACAGCAAGGGCTCTGTAGACCACGGCTGTCACTGTTCCGCTTATCCTCCTGTCCCCTCAGGAAGACAGGAAGGGCGAGTACTTGGGCCCAGGGCACCAAGGGGAAGACATCTGCTCAAGGCTCTGTAAACCACGGCTGTCACACTGTTCTGCTTATCCTCCTGTCCCCTCAGGAAGACAGGAGGGGTGAGTACTGGGACATCTGGCCCAGGGCACCAAGGGGAAGACATCTGCTCAAGGTGACAGAGGAAGCACAAGCAAAGGGGACCAATGCCTCACTCTTGTGACTTAATGCTGCAGACCGAGCTGGTTTTCCAGCTCAAGGATTCCCCAGGCTCTTCCCAGCCGCCATAGACTGTCACGTGACCGTCTCAGCCAGTGGGCCTCAGAGCGCTGCGACACGGACCTTGTTGAAGTCCTCAGCTGTCGCCCTCATCTCTTTCCAGGTCTTGTTCAACAACTGGATGCAGATTCCGAAGAGCTCTTCGAAGGCCCGGTCGTGGGTAAAGAACATAGGGTGGTAGTCGTTGCGTCCTTCATTTGCTGTGGAGGGAAAGAAACGGGGAAAGGATGAGCTGGGGACGCATCTGGAAACTTTGGATCCTCTGCACCAAAGTCCTGAGAACAAAACCAGAGCGAGGCCCAGAGCCAATGCGTGGGGGGTAGGCCGTCCCCGCTTCCTTGGCTCTCTTCTTCAGGACTTTTTCTGTTACGGACTCGGCTAGTCCTTACACACAGGACTAAGTGGATGGTGGCGGGGCTCCTGAACACACTCAAATGGCCAGCTCAGACACAGCAGTGGCCGGGATGCCCATTAGCAAGGATAAGGGGGAGTACGGCTCACACAGATAGTTTTTGAAAAGCACAATAAGGTTGTTCAGCCCCACTGACACCTGACTGTATGACCTCGTGCCTCACAAGGCTCCTGATTGCAAGGCCCGGCTGAAACAAGAGAGGGAGCCACGCAGACTTACGCAGCTCCCCAACCTGGAGGATTTCACAGAGCATTTTCGTGAGCTCGATGGCACTGCGGCCGAAGGGGCACTCGTGCTTGTCTTCTCGGCTGCTGTTCTCCAGGACGATCTGTCGGGGGACAGGACAGGGAGGGTTAGAGCGGCGAGGCGGGGAGGCCAGAGGTGTGGCGCCAGGACTGAGACAGCTGGCCCGCAGCCTTTACCCGGATGTAGGTATCCTGATGGACTTTAGCCAAGTACAGCATGTTGTCCAAGGCCAGCATTCCAGGAGGAGTCTGGGTGAAGTCCATTGCTGGGTTGATATGGTTCTGGAGGAATAAAGAAATCCGACCTGAGACTCGGCAGTCTCCCTACGTGCGGTGTCACCTGAGGGCAAGCCTTACTGCCCTCTGCGTGCCACAGGCACTGCGTACCTACTCTTTCCAATGCTTTCGCACGCCCATCTCCACCACGAGACTGGGAGCTCCTGAACTCTGGGCATTGCTGAGTAATCTGTCTCCCCAGCACCTAGCATACCGCTGGCATGGGGTACGTGTGCGGTAAGTATTTAACTGAATTAACTCTATCCTCAAGCTGTATCTTATCACAAAAGATCCTCTGCAGCTTTTCAAAGAACCTCACTCGCTTTCACACACCCGTCTCCACCACGAGACTGGGAGCTCCTGACCTCTGGGCATGGCTGAGTAACCTGTCTCCCCAGCACCTAGCATACCGTTGGGCATGGGGTACGTGTGCGGTATCCTCAAGCTGTATCTTATCGCAAAAGATCCTCTGCAGCTTTTCAAAGAACCTCACTACTTTGGTGAGAGGTCCCCTCTCTCCCCATCTGGCCGACCTCCTGGGCCCTCCTATGGATGGGTTTCACAGGGCCAAATGTTGCACATAAACTCATGAACCTGCCACCGCTGAGGCAAATAAAGCATCGTGGCCCCTCCAGCTTCTTGGTGTCATCTATTCCAGGGCCACCATTATGAAGAAAGGGTTCTTAGGGCTCTGTCTGGGTGGGTCCTCTGACTTCCTGTCAGGGGAGAAGGCCCACCAATGTCCGTGCTCTGGGAAACTTACAGTAAATCCCAGCATTTTGTAGTCCTTGGTATACATGGCTTTGCGTTTTTCAGTCCCACTCCCGGGGACGTTGCTCGGGTCAGACTCTGCGTCAAATGCAATCCTCCTCAGTTCAAATATAATGTCTCTTTGAGCCTGAGAGGTGAAACAGACAGTCAGCAGGTGACTTGAGGAAGCAAGGTAAAGAAAGAGTGGGTCGGGCTTTTCTGGGCGGAACTCTGGCCCCCATGGATCTCCAAGGAGGCAGCACCTCTGCCTTAGCAGACAGAGCGGGGCTTGGCCCGGAGGGTCACCCAGCAGTAAGCGATCTCAGGGAGGCGCACAGCTGGGTCCTCCAGACCAGACGCGAACCATTCCTGCAGACACACCGAGCACGATCCCTGGCAGACAGCTGGTGGGACGCCTCACACTGAAGAGCACACGGTTTGAGCCAGAAAAGCTCTGCCCCATTGAGCACCCACCTGGTCGTTGGGGTCCATCTTGGTCATCATCCTTTCTTCCAGAAGGTTAAAGGTCAGGACTTGCAGGACATACAGCTGATGGGCCATCTCGGTTTTGATTGGGCGGTTCCCCCGGATCACGTGCTAGAAGAGGCAAAGGCAGGGAGCAGGGGGTTTCATTTTTTCTTTTACTGAAGAATCACATCCATGCTGCTGAAAAAGTACGCTGGGCAAGGAAAAGGGCTTTCCTCCCACACACAGGGACTTCATGTTCTAGAAGGCGGCGAAGCATGAATGGGCTTGATTCAGGCAGAGACGATTCATGCCGGCCCAAAGGGCACGGTCCTTTTTCTGCACTCCCCTGCACAGGGGATGTGGAATGAAAGGTGGGGTTGCACCCAGCAACGCCAAAGAGGAGGGGGCTGCCCCATTAAGATTATGATACGGAAGATCAGCAGCTGGACCTCACTCCAATCAGGTAAGTAATTACTGCTTACAGTTTGGACCAGCCACATTTTAAGTATCCAACAACCACACGTGACTGGCCAGTGGCTAGCAAATGGGACTCCACAGGTTTAAAGAGAATGATGACAAACCAACAGATAGTGTGCAAGAGAAGACTCTCTCGTAGCATTGCACAGCATGGTTCTTCTGTTTTCCCTTAGAAAAATAAAATGTTTCGATGGCCTAAGTAAAGAGGCTTAAAGAAAAGGGCATTTTCTTTAGATGATATCGAGACACTTTCACAAAGGGGGGCATCTGATGCTCCTTGTCCAACCCCTGCGCTCCCCCCTCCCTTCTTTCTCTCCTACACCTTCCCCCTCCTTCTTTCTCACCAGTGTATGCCCCCCTCCCTGTGGCCCTTGTGTTCCCACCATGTCCTTCTCCCTCCCCTCTGTGCTCCCCGCTCTCTTTCCAGGGCCCCGCCTCTCCCTCTCATTCAGCCCCTCCTCCCTCTGTCCCTCTGATGCCCACCCCTCTCCATCTCTCATGCTCCATCTCTGCCTATTTTCTTGCACGCTCCATCTCCCTCCGTCCTTCCGGGCTGATTGATGCTTGGTCATGTTTTTGTCTTAAGCTGTCCCGTTTCCGCTCCATGGAGCCCGCTCTTTCTGACTTGCTCCCTTGTGCTTCCTGCTGCCCCTCTTTGTCTCACTACTATCTTGAATCCTGTCACTTTTGGTCTTTTCTCCCTCAAAGGAGCCTCTTGCCCGGTTTCCCACAGGAACCACTCTGTGTGTTTTGTGTTCTCCTACTCAGCCTCTACAGCTATGCAGTCCAGTTTGGGAGCCACTAGCTACCTGTGGCTGTTGAACACTTAAAAGGTGGCTCATTCTAATTGAGATGTGCTGTAAATGAAAAATGCGCACTGGACCTCAGAGCCTTCAAATGGGAAAAGAAGATATGTGCTCTCTCGTTCAAGATTTCTTCTATTGATTACATGTTGAAATCATAGTATTTTTGATATATTGGGTTAAATTAAATATAGTACTGAAGTTAGCTTCCCTTATTCTTTTTTTAATGTTGCTCCGAGAACATTTAAAATGAAATAAGTGGTTCCTATCACATTTCCACTGGCCGGCGCTGCTCCAGATCCCCGCCATCCCCCGCCCTGCGACTCCAGAGTGCTCCTCCTTTCTCTCCCGAGCTCTTCACAGCCCCAACAGTAGCCACGAGCCACATGTAGGTATTTAAGTTTCAAATGAAGTTTTAAAAAATGACAAATTCAGTTCCTCAGTCACACTAGACACATTTCAAGTGCTCACCCAGCAGCACAAGGCCGCTCCTGATCTCTTGCTAGAGGGAGTGCTAAAGCCCTCACCCCCTCCCTGTGAGCCCTCTCTAGCTCCCTCTGTCTGCCAGTTCCCTCTCCGTCTCTCCCGCTCTCTTCTCGGTCTCTGTCTCTATCTCCCCAAGCTTATTGTTCATTCTCGGCTCTGCTTCTCCTCCCCACTTAGCTTCCGTTACCCACTACCCTCCACTGCCCAGGGCCTTTTCTCTTCCACTGATCGTCCACCCCCTCCACACCTCCTCTTTGCTTCACTCTGAGCCTCTTCCTCTCTCTGTTGTTCCCTCCCTCTGCCACTCTGATTTCCCCCTACATGTCTAGCCCTATTCCTACCTCCTCGCTGCTCCAGAGTTCATAAAACCACTTTACAGAGAAGTTGAAGTTAATGTGCTATTGGTTTTCATTCATTTTAATCTCCATTTCTCAAACTTAGACACATCACAGCCAGAAGGAAATTAACTCTAGCCATCAACGGCTTACAGCAGTATAGCTCTAGTCAGACGAGTTAGTCTCGGAGGCTTTACCTTGAAGCCTTGTTTGACTGCCAGATACCAGAGGGCTAAGCTCTTGGGCTTGACTCAGTTGAATCCCTAGGCTAATGAGATCATGTGTTAACCATTCCCTAGCAGACTATTTAAGCCCTGAGTCCTGACAGTGACGTAGCTTCTGCAGTGGAATCTTGGCTTGTCACAAGGTTTGTCCATAAATGAGCCGAATTTCCAAACCTCGTTCAGGTTAAACAATAAGCCTCGAAATTCATTACATTTTCCCCAGAAGGGCACCCTCACTCCTACTCATGCAGAAGATGACACCCAGGACAGCTGCTCAGGAACGTGGACAAGAATGCGTGGGAATCTGTGCTCCCAGTCACTTGCCGCCAGATTGCCTGAGCATTTGCGCAGGTCCCTCCTGCCAGGCTGGCTGTGGGGCTGTGACCAGGGAAGTGGCCAGCAGGCAGGAGCTAGTTCTGCAAGGTGAAGTCTGACAGACGCTACGTGTTTAGACCAGCTGATGGCTAGACTTCCCAAGGGCACGGAGCTTACTTCCGGAATTCTACCACCTCTGTACCCTATTCACAAAGAATTGCCAGAAAGAGTGAAGCGCAACACCACGTGCCAGGCACTGTATATATATTATTAGCTCATTTAGTCCTCACATCCAAGTGAGCGAATCGAAGCCCACGGAAGTTAAGTGAACTGCTCAAGATCAAAGACTGGTTAATGGCTGGTGACTCCAAAGTTCATGTTCAGAATTATTAAGCCTTTCACACTTGACTCCAAATTTCTCATGTTGTTATTCCCTGCACTGTGGTCTCCCAGTTTTCCCTTGTTTCTCACAACTGATAAAATCAGCCTCCTTTTAATCCAGACATTTGGCTCTTTCCCGGCTCCTACCGCCCCCACCTCAGCTCTCTCCCACCCCACATCACCGCCCTGGTAATAGGAAATTAGACCCCCTCCCGACCAACTTCTCCTCTCCTCCCTCACATACCCCTCCGGAAACATATAGATCTTGGAGTGCGATCCTTCTAAAATGCCAAGCTGGTTATTTCACGGTCCTGATTAAGTCCTCGGTTGCCCTTGGGAAGAAGACCAAGGCCCTACCTGATCCGGCCTTTGCTGCCGCTGCAGTCTCTCTGCGAATCTGCTCCTTGCTTCGCCCTCTACCCAGGCGCTCCTTCCAGGTGCCAGCCACCCACCCCCTCTCTGGAACTCCTTATCCTCTGCCTCACCTGAAGACATTCCTCTAAAGCCTTCCTGACCCCTCTTCTTCCACGAAGGACTGACTGCCCCTCCTCCAAAATCTCCCAGACCACGAATCTCCATGGAAAATGACCACGTGGGGCTATGACCACTTGTCTTTCCTACTGGACTAGGGGTTCTCTGAGAGCAAGCGCACTATCTCACTCATCCCTGCTAGTGCCTCACATAATTCAGGCTATGACCGGTGTTATCTGAATGAGCCTAATTTAACATATTCCCTCTAGATAAAAATTTTTAGAGCTGCAGGGCAACAAAGAGTATCGCTGGCCTTAGCACCTCTTTCAAGGCTCTGCAATTCCTGGAGGACGGCCTCCTAGAGACGACTCTGCTTACAGAGGATTACAAAAAAAAAAAAAGCTTTTCACCTTAAGAAGTATTTAATACCTATCGGTAAGTTCCCTGTGAGTGCCTTCCCCACTCAACAGTAATTTCAGTAATAATACAACTATAATAACAGTAATAATGGCTATTAATAGTAACAAAACAACTATAGTAACAAAATACAGTCTTTTCTGGAAACTTACATTGAGGATTATGGACCGAAGGTGCTTCTGGGCAAATGCATTGGCCATATCCTATTGAGAAAAATAAGGAAACATAAGGCAAGGTGGAGGCACACAGCTGTGACAACTATCAAGAGAAAGGGGATGTCATAGTACTGCGGCTTTATCTTTGAAAATATTTGTTCCCTTTCAAACGAAAAGTAGGCAAAGAGAAAAAAATCCATGGATCACCAGATGTATTTTATACGCTAAAAAGTTCCCTCGTTTTCTTTCGTTGAGTGCAAATTAACTCAGAAACGCTTTCCCTTCTCCATGGCACAATCGACTGCATCACTTTCAAAGAAGGACAAAGACTGCTTGCTTCAGGTCGAGACGCTGTTACAAGGACGCTGAGCGACGGACAACACACATGGAGCACAGAGCAGCGTGACGGTTCCCAAGCCACATGCACTGTTCTAGGCAGACGCCCACCGCCCAGGCTGGAAGGGACTCTGACGTGTGGGCTCTGGCCCCCTGCGCTCTTGGCCCCCAACCCCCAGCAGGGCACCAGCAGAGTTGGGCGTGAACACTCTCAAAGTCTCCGATTCACTTCTGACTGGTTTACAGAACAAGGTGTCAGGGGCTTTGGGATACTTTTTCACAGTAGGGTCAACATTTAAAAATTATATTTGGTTCAGATTTTGACAGTAACACTTTATTTATTTAGCCCATTCAGAAAAGTGTCCTACGTGACTCTTCCAGGGAGAGAAGCTCTAAGGGCCCTCACAAAATCATTACTTTGACCATTCTTAGGCAAATCTAAAAATATATCACATACATTTCTTTATTTCGGAAGAGTCTACAATAATTACAAGTTAATCATGCCAAGGATTTGGCTTCATCGAAAAGAACATCAGTTATTAGTCTGTGTTGTGACACTGTAATACCCCAAAGGAGCTACTGAAATGTGAAATTATTTCCCCTCAACAAAACGGTCCCAGATTACTATGCTTTTAATTTTTCTGACAGCTTTTCATAATTCTTCTGTCTCCTCCTTCCAATGTCAGCCGTCACTTCTTATAACACTAATTAGTGTGACTTCACTTTCGAAACTACTGCCTTAATTTAATTTCACAGATAATTCTAAATGAATCGGCCCGAGGGAGCGGCCACACCTCTCTAGTGGAGCAATACCCAGGAGTATTGTCATCTTCCTCACTGAAAGGCCGTCCTCGCTCACATCTAGATTTCTAGCCATATTCCTCATGGCTGATGCCACCAGGAACAGTAAGTTGTACTTTGCATCCCCTGAGAACACACTGGCTCCTGGAGGAGGAGGAAGGTAGCCTAGGAACCTCTCTGGTAGCTACAGGAGGTTGGCTTAACACTAAATCTTGCTGTGGACAACAAAGTGGGTAGCCAACAGGGTCTGCTGCTGGGGAAAAGCACTCATCCTCCTCCAGATCCTCGTAGAGCTGACCTAAGCTCCCTCCGACCAAGAAACGAGCATCCCAATTTCCCTTGGCCAACTGTCTAAACCTTTTCAAATTCCTATGGTCAAGTCAGTGTCCAAAAGGGCATGAGTTTACCTTTCAGACTTTGCTATATCAAGTTGGAAGGTGATGTATCATGGAATCATCCAGATGAAAGTCAGAGGCTATTTCTGAATCTGATCTTTCCTGGCTGGACCACAGCCTCATGGAAAGGCAAGTTACAAAGGAAAGACTGGGCTACATTCCCTGGGACTGGCACCCCTTTAATCCTTTATGTGACTCTAACCTGCAATACGTCCCCAAGTGTCCTGACAAATGAGATTCCTAACACACGACCTTTTCCTGTGTCTTGGAGTTCTCTGAACATCTGGATCAGATATGAGATTCTTGCCCAGCTGTGACCTCCCCACCTGGAAGAGAGCCGGGGCCCTTCCCACACAGCGGTGCTACTTACAGTGACAGGCAGGTCTAGAGGATTAAGGTGCTTGTCCTGCCGGCAGAAAGCAAAAAGCACAGAGAGAAGCAGATGGAAGAATGAGCTTTCGGCTTACATTCAAAACAGGACTAGGATGGAAGAGATTAACAGAGCAAAGCCATCCAGGAAAGACAAGGACAGACAGAACCGCAGATGCTCCTGGTTCCCCGACTCGGAACCACCAAGAGCTTGGTACATGATCCCATGCCGATTTCAACTTAATGAGCCCAGGGTGCCGACAGAGAACTAAAGTCTGTCTTTTGTACCCCACTTGAGCTTTTACCAGAGAAATCTCAAATGCTAGTTGTGAAAGGGCCCTCAGAGACTTTTTAACCTGGCCCTTTCAGTTCACAGAAAGAGAAACTGAGGCCTGCAGAGGTTAAAGCATGATTCCGGCCAGCGGCAGGAAAAGTCCTTAACCTCGGGGCCCCGAACTCTTGGGTCAGTGCTCATCGCACAGCCCAGCTGATTCCTGGTGTCCTCACTTGTAAAATAGGGGTCTGATTTTTCCTCTGACATCCTTGTGACGTAAATGGGGCAGATGCTAATGCTCCCATATTACGGGTGAAGAAACTGGGGTTCGGAGAAGCAGAGCCATTTACATAATGCTGCACAGCTAATTAATAGGGGAAGAAGGAAGTCTGGAACCTGGTTCGGAGGAGCCTTATACAGGAAGCTTCATGCTGAGCCTTTCTGCTCTTGCTTCCTTTAGTGAGGCTCTCACTTGCTTCGGTCTCTTGCACTCAACAGTGATGCCCAGAGGGTCACCTCTCCCTTCTTGATCTTCTAACCCAGGGGTTGGCAAACTAAGGTCAAATTAGGCTTGTCGCCTATTTGCGTAGATGAGGACTTATTGGAAAAAAGTCACACTTATTTGATTACTTACTGTCTGAGGCTGCTTTTGGCTCCAAAGGCGAGGTTTTACAGTTGTCACATAGACTGTATGGTCCACAAAGTGAAAAATGTTTACTCTCTGGCCCTTCAGAGGAACCAGTGTGCAGGCCCCTGCTCTGACCTAAGACCCAGGTGGTTTCCCTGCTAGTCCCTCCCTGGGTCTTCCTTAGCGAAGACACTTTGATGGGCTCTGACCACAGAGGGACAGAAGAAAGAACTCTTGGGAAAATGGCTAGGCTTCTGCTCTCTGCACGGCAAAGGGTGGGTGGGTGAGAGTTCCTCTCTTGGAAGAGCCCAGAAGAAAAGCTTGAAAAGGCAGCCACAGACCTGTCGCTTGTCCTCAGGAGCCTTCAGAAAAAGTGCGTTAATCAGGGCAATGGCGTAGGTCTGAATTTCCTGGTTGGAGCTGTGTCAATGGAGAGAGAAGGCAGAGGGAGATTAGCAGAGTGACCAACAAGATGACGCTTAGAGATGGTTTATAAAATCACTCACAGATTGTAATCAAAGAATAATCTGCAGCTAAGTCTCAAAAGCCTTAAAACTGTTCATTCAACAAACACTAATTGAGCTTCTACTTAAAGCAAGGCAGGGGATACAAAGATGATTGGTCCCTGTTCCCAAAGAGCTCAAAGTTTTAATGAGAGACAGATAATAATAATAATGTATTTAAATATAATTATCATAGGTACAGAGACTATTTGGCCTATGGAGGAGAAAGCAATTAATTCTGCCTGGAACCACAGTGGAACAGGAAGATTGAGAAAAACCTCAATTTATCTTAAGAGGCAAGGAGAATTACAGAGGATTTTATGCAGGAGCATAACATGATCGGGTCTGAATTACGGGAGGAATCTGGCAGTAGTGTGGAAGAGGTGATGAATGAATGAACAAGCAGACCAGCAGCTTGGAAAATAAGCAAAGCAGAAGTAGGACTGGAAGACTTAAGCAGACTAAGGGGAGAAGAAAGCAGACAGGGAAAGGAGGGGGCGGGGTCTCTTACTCACACCTGGAGGTGAGAGATGAGCTGTCCCACAGTGATTTCCTCTGCTATCTTCTGGTACAGACTCTGGCTGTTCAGGACCATGCTCTCCAGGATGGCCAGGGACCTCTGAAGGATGGATACATCTACCATGGGCTGGCTCACGTACCCTGCAATCTAAAGCCAGAGCGGGCAAACCAGTTAGAAAGCCCAGGGCCCAGGGGAGCTAGACGGCTTAGGTTCCTGATGCTAGCTCATGAAGGCTCTCTCCTCTCAGGCGTGCTGCCCACGTTTGGGCAGCTGTCTCTAGGTAGAGAGTGGTATCTGATTTATGGCTACCCTGGCCAATGTCCCAGGGATTCCCTAGGCATGGATAACTCAACTTCAAATTACAGTGTCCAGTCAACTGTGTTTCCTCAAAATCTACGAGCTTCTTCCTTTGTTTTCAAAATACGGGTTTGGGTATGAAATAGTTTACTGTGGAAAGAAGAGGATCTTACTGACGCTAGGATACCTTTCATCTCCAGGTACTCTTCTCCTGACATACACTGTGTCGCTATATGCACGCAGTACAGCAGAGACTTGGAAAGGTGGAAGGGACCTCAAAGTCTCATCATCTAATCTCTCTTCTCAATCCCCATTACGATCTCCTTGACACACGATCATTTGACTTTTACCCCCAGCATTAGGAAGTTCCCAACGTCCCACACCAACAATAGGTGTAATTATAGGTCAGTGGATGTATTAGTCATTGGTTTTAGGTCAGTGGATGTATTAGTCATTGGTTTTAGTTCAGTTTTCTGGATTGACACTGCTCCCTCTTGTAGAAGAAAGGAGGGCAAAACTAGAAGTGTCCGCTCCCACCCCCTAAGTTCAATGCGACAGTCCGAACAGGCTACCTTGCACATTTGTAAACAAAAGGCAGACTTGTAAATATAAGGGCAAAGGAAATGAACTTTTTTTTTTTTTTAATCAAAGAGAAGGGGGAGCTCAGGAGGCAGGTCAGAAGACTTAGGAATGGTACTGGTGTATGGCTGCTGTTGTCCCAAGTCTCACTGACAATCCAGTGCCACTTTGGCCATATTCATCCCTGAGAGCCCAGTTCCATCTTCTCAGCGCAGGTGCTAACAGTACAGCAGGGAAACCTTTCAGGAGCCACAGGAAGGCCAGAGCTTCAGGATGAGAAATCTGGCGGCAGGGACAGAAGGCCACCCTCACCAGAGTGGCTGCATTGTCCACATCTCCCCCTAAGCCTGGAGGACAACTGGCGACTGAGGGAGGAGAGAAAGACGGAACATTGGGGGCCTCACCTGCTTAATGAAGGTGATGGAAACCATGTCCCAGGAGACAATGCCATGGTCCATGAGCTCTAAGAAGGCAGTCAGGGTGAATGCCAGCATCTCACTGTAGCTGAGACATGTGCAAAACACACACACAGTAATACAAAGATTCAGAACCGGGGATGCAGGTGTGAAGGCAGCCACAACAGAGATGGATTTCAATGTAAGCACCACACGAGAAGTCGACACAGCTGTGGGTAAGCACCAGCATGCACGCACAGCCAGGTGTGGAGCAGATTCTGTCCAGGTATCCATCACGGACAACGAAGGTGTTCCTTCTCCATATCACCTCATCTCAGGGAAACCGAATCACTTATCCATTTCCCAAGAACAAGAAAGATGCCAGACCTCTCTCAAACCCCAGCACTTGGTAGAGGTACCTAAGTAAGGACCTAAGTAAGGAACCTTTTGTCCCATGTTCACTTTTAGGCCACGAGGTAGCAGAGTGCACGAGAAAGAGTACAAACTTTGGACATGGGTTCAATTCCTGTTCAACCACTTACTAACCGTGCAACTTTTACTTTTCAAACTTCCATTTCTTCCTCTATAAATCATGTTACTCTCACAGCGTTAACCTCAGAGGGTTGCTGTGAGGGAAAATGACAATGTATGCAAAGCCCTTAGCTTCGTGCTGATGGAGAATACAGATGAAAATGGTTTCTCTCCTGTCTCTCCTCTTTATACGATTAATCCTTCATACGTCTGTAGAGCGCTTTATACTTAACAAACTATATCCCCATGTACAGAGCATGTTCAGATCCATTCTCATTAACAATGCTCCTCACAACGATACTGCAAGGCAGGTATTACCCCCACGTTAAAGAGGAGACAAAAGCCCCTATAATCATGTACCCTCGGGGGACTGCAGAACTCCTCGGTCAGTGCTGATGACAGCCGAAAGCTTTAGGATTTTCCAAACTTAAAGCAAATACCCATGATTAGTTGCTCGGTTTGGCTGAAAATTTCAATAGCTGATCCATCGGCTAAAAGATTTCCCTCTCTGCCAGCTTAGGCTGCATAGGCTTAGAAGGCAAACCAAACATCTGTTTATTCCCTGCCGATCACGACAAGGCAGTTTCCCACCACATTCATCTTAACTTTGCAGTGGTGTAAAGACGTTCGTGGTGTACTGCAAAGTTCTGGATCTCATCCTCCCTGTGAAAACGGGTGGTAGGGAGATGGCTAATGGGAGAGGGTAACTTATGGTAAACACAGAGGCAGGTGTGAGTGTGTGAGTGTGTGGAGTGGGGAGGTGACCGCAGAGGGCAGGAAGCAGGGGGTGGTTAAGAATAGACAGATACCTGTTCTTGTCGATAATAGACAGTCTGCTCACTAAGCTCCATCAGGCCAATCGTCCTCCATAAATTAACAGGGCTGCCATGAGCTGACCGCTCTCTTCCCTACTTCTGTGGCCCCTGTTGTTCCCACTCACTTGGCACAGTACTATTTTGTACTGTCACGTGATGTGTAAGAGGCCAACTAGACTACAAGATTTAGGACCGCAACGGTGAATTATACCCCTCTGCGTGGGCCCTAGTGCTCGACATACTGCTCTGGATGCAGAAGGTGTTCAACAGACGCATTCGATTCAACAGAAATAAGAAGAGGATGCCTGTGGAGAGCAGTGAACCTGACAGCCCCTCCGACAAGACCTCGGCAATACTCACTGGGACAAGAGCTTGGTTCCACTTTCCACAAGCCGCGTCAGCACAACGATGCCATCCATGTTGATGAACTCGGTGGCGAAGGTAATGTCAGCAGAGAGCTTGGCCAGCTCCTTCATGGCATCCAGCCGGGTCTCCATGTTGGATGACTGGGTCCTCTCCATCAGCTGGCGTGCGGCCCGGGACTGTGAAACCAGGGACGAGATACATGCCATCTGCTCCTTGCGGCTGGTTACTGCTCCATGGATAGCTCTAAGGGGCCTTTCTGGGAACACCCAAGCCTGAGAAGAACTAGTTTTTCTACTGCTAAATACATGTTTATTGAATCAAGCAGGGAATTACCAGTACACTAAGACCAATTCTGTAGTTATCTGTAGCCTTTCTGTACCACTCTGGTCTATGGATTAAAAAATTTCCATAGGAATTTTTGTAGGAATACAAGAGTGATCTGAGAGATGACAGTCCGCTCACCGCGGCAAGTCACAGAGAAACAGACACTGGTTCCACATAGGACAGCTTGACATTAATTAAAGCCATCAGACAGTGGAAGAGGTTGTCTTGAAGTAAAGAGTTCTCGGTCACTGGAAGCAATCAAGGAGGATCGAGACAACCATCTGTCAAAGATGCTATAGAAGGCACGCCTACATTGGGTGGTGAATTTAATTTGATGACCCTGATGGTCCCTTTCAATTCGAAAATGTGATAAGCCTTACAATTTTTTTTTTTTTTTTTTTTAACTTTCTCTCAAAGTCCACATCATTGTTCCTCAAAGTGATAGTCCTGGGGCGACTTTAAGAATCTCAAGGAGCAGGAAGCAGCTAATTTCAAAATAGCTTTTTGAAAATGATGGCTGGTGACAAAGCCTCCTCCTAGCATGTGAACTTTTCCTGGCAGACGCTTGCCTCTGTTGCCGTGATCCCCGCTCTGGTGTTCACTCATCTTTCCTTTTGCTGAACTTATTAATTTTACAGTCAGTGCCTCATAATTTTCCGTTTCATCATTCTCTATTTCTAGTGTGTTCACTTAATGTTCTCAGTCAGAATGGAAGAGTCTTGAGAGCCAAAACCCTCCTGTGGTCTTTATTTTTTCTCACGGTGCTAAGCAAGCGGCTGAGCCCAGTTCCTGCTGCCAGCCAAGGAGTCGGGCCTGTTCTTCTCTCTCCCCTTTGCTTCTCCTATCTCTGTGATAAAGACAGCCCTTGAACAGCACACTGCTCTCAACGATACAGAAATCCTTCAAGATCTCCATGGTAGAGAAAATGGGCGCCAGGAGAAAAGGTTACAGGAGGGACCAATTTGAAGAGCACTGGTCTGCATCACACTTAGGAACTTCCAACTCCAGATGTTAATTTTCCTCTGGAGACAGCACTTCTGGGCGGCTGCATCCCGCTCCAGAGAGACGTGCTCCTGGGAAAGCCTGCTGCTCCGTGCAAGAGGTCTGGACAAGCTTCGGTACGTCTATAAAAGCGAGTAACTCCCAGACCGTCATATTAAATTAGCAGAGCTTAGTGGGGAATAGCGAAGTCCTTAAGATGAGTTCAGGAGAAGAGGGAAGCAGAAGAGCATGATGGTAAGAATACCTGCCTAGAGTCCGGCAGGCCTGGGTTTGAGAGCCAGCCCTGCCTGCCCTGTTTTAAGCCGTGTGACAAGAGACAAGTTTTTTTGTCTAAGTCTCGGTTTCCTTGTCTGCAAAATGGAGCTACCAAGAGCGCCTATCTCATCGAGTGTTTGTCAGGATTAAAGGATACAACATTATGCAAAGTGCTTAGCAAAATGCAGGTGTTCAATAAATGTTAGCTGTTATGACTCCATGCCTCCCTTCCTTGCAGGTGAACCAGTCTCTCTCATCAAGAAAACACGTGTCAGCACACCCTTGATTTTCTAGCAGCGCTTCTGCAAACGTCCCTGAGTTACCCTGTTTCGACTGTCCTCAGGGGCTGAGCAGCGAGGGCGAATCCCTCCACCTGGGCTTTGGGTTCCCCCTGTCCGGACCCAGGAAGGTCCTGTTGCATTAACTACCCCCTCTTTCCTGTGCTGTCAACCTTCCACTCTTCCATGTTAACATATTTTCAAGGACACATAAAAAAACTGCAACAGAAGTTAACAGCTATGAAGGGTCGGAAGAGGCGGGGAACTGGGTAGATGAGGGACGGGAGTGGGAGGAAGACCTTTTCCTGTATCTTTGTCAAAACTTTTTTATTTTTGAAACACAGGAATATTTTACTTCTTTTTAAAAAGCACATCTTTGCGACTCCACATTTCTGAGTTACCCTTCTCCATCTCCTTCCTTTTATAACCAAGCATCTCGATAATATGATAAACTCGAGGTTCTCAGTTTTTTATCTCTTTTTGCTCAACCTACTGCAATCTGGCTGTCACCCAATCACCCCAACAAAATGGTTTTCAGGAAGCTCACCAGCGACTGACTGACTTCCCCGGCCAAGGTCCAGCCTCTCTGTTCTCAGTTCACCGTATCTCTCTGCTCCTCGCAGACCACACCTTCCTCCACCCTGACTCTACCCCTGCCTTTGGCCTGGTTTTCTTCCTACTCTTCTGGTGGCTTCCTCAGTTACTTTTAAGGGCTGCTCTAACAGAAATCAGGGGTCATCCTGGATTCTCCCCTTCCCTTCCACATCTGTAGATCACCATATTCATCCAGTTTACCTCTGACTATTCTTCATGCCCACCCTTTCGTCTCCCCTGCCATTTGCCTTTGTGGGCTGTTAACACTCCTGGGTAGTTTCTTAAAGATCCCTCCTGCCGCCAACCTTCCTTTTTTCAGCCCATCTTCCACCATGTCACTAAAGTGATCTTTCTAAAATATAAATCTAAGCATAATACACCTTCCTGCTTAAATCTTTCAGTGTCTCCACATGCCCGTCTCGATAAAATCCAAACCCACGTGCAGGCCACCCAGGAACCTTCAGCGTCTGGCGTCTCACCGGCTGCTGCGGGCCCTCAGCCAGGCAGCACCTGCCTTCCCCAAAGCACACCCTGGAACACTTTCCATTTTCTTCTTTCTCAAGCTAATTTCTGCTTATCCTGCAGCACCTGAGCTACGCGTTCCCTTCTCTGGGAAGCCTGTCTAGGAATCCTCAGGCTGAGTTGGGCGGTCCCTTTTCTGAGTTCCTACAGCTCCCTAAGCAACTTTCTGTCAAGACCCTTGAGAGAGGCCTTGTATTGTATCTGTTTACTCCCAAGCAGGCTGTAAGAGTAAAGAATGACTTTCTAATCTCCATTGTCTCAGTTTCTAGAATAAAGTCTGGCCCATGGTAGATGTTTACATATCTTTGTTATATAAATTAATTCCTAAGGAAAGGAGAGTACGTACCGGGGAGATAGCCAGCTGTAAGATTGTTCCATTCTTAATGTCACTGCGAGTCTGGGGAGCAAAAGAAAAAAAGAGTAACCAAGACACAATATGAAGATTGTGTAAACAACCCCAACAACTTTTCTTCGTTTTTAAAGCGGTTGTAACTCAGACTCGCAGTCAGGCCCTCTTCTGCTTCCATCTTGGCAAAGAACTTCTAAGATTCCCTTTCAGCACTTTGGGCTCTCAGGAAGGAAAAGCCACAGTGTTCCAGCCCCTACAGGAGAACAAGGCCTGGCTCTCTCATCTGCCCAGGAAGCAGCTCTTTCCCCGGTTAGTGGACGCTCCCTGGACGGAAGTGAGGTAAACAGCGTGGTCTCCTTGGGTGGTTCACTTCACAGAAAGGCCTATGTTGACTTGCTTCTCCTTTTACTGACCTGTTCCGTGATGTAGAGCTGAGGCCCATCTGCATAACGCAGAGTGTAATACTCTGGATTCGGCAATGACCACCTACGTGAGAGAAAAGTGGTAGAGCCCGTTGGGCCATTCCTCCCAGCCTGTCTAAAAGCTGCAAATCAATCTTTTTCAGTAAAGTTGCTCATGGGATCGAGTAGCCTGTCTGGAGGACAGGGGTAAAAAACCAAAGCTTTATGGTGAGATGTGGGAAAAATAACCTCCACAGCCTTTTTTGTAAGATTAGCACCACAAAAAGGCAGTACATACATTCGAGGGGTGGCCACCATACAATTCAGATACACCAGGACCTCGGGCAGGGCACTCCTGGACTTAAAAGAAAAACTAAAGGCTGACTGGAGCTCTAAGCGATGTCCTCATCAGCACTGTTTCCTTCATAAGACAACGATACACGAAAGCCCCATCCTGGGGACCTGACTAGCTGGGGACCTTTCCAGGTCTGGCAGTGCTCCTTGACTCTTCAGCTTGCCACTGTCCAAAACGAGGAGTTTCAACTTACCCATCACAAACTTCCTTGATGACGGATGCCAGAGGCCGTTTCTGAAAGAAAGAGAAAGACCCTTCGACCACTTTCTATTTGTGCCAAGGCTCTAACAAGAGGGGAGGCCAGGCAGGATGAACCTGCGGCCTGCACGTGGACTTCTTCCTGGACACCTTTTGTGGAAGAGACAGCCTCTCCCAAGCCATGGTGACCAATCTTCCACAGGATGGGACAGATCTCAGCATGCCAATGGTCCCCAGGATGGGGACCAATCTTCCACAGGATGGGATAGGTCTCAGCTTGCCTTTGCTGATGCCAATGGTCCCCAACCCTGAAGACGCCCTCTGCCACGCACTTCCCAGATCCCTCTCCTTGCACCGCTGCTTCTCATTTTGGGAGCTTACCTGGTCGATTTCAAGGAGCTGGGCATTAGCACCTGGCCACTCAATGGCCACTTTGACAATGTCTGATGGTGGCGGCATTGTTCCTAATGGGTCCTACTTCTCCAAGACACACACGCGGAGACAGCTGCCTGGGGAGAAGGAATGAGAAAGAAGGAAAAAGTCATAGTGTTTACCTTTACTGTTCACTCTCGTTAGATATTCTGGAGAATAAGCAGACAGACGGTGTCCAGAGGAACACATGGAACTACTTCATTTGAATTTTTCTAGATCACACCACAGTCTCTCCTTGGGCTTTTGTCTCTTTAGATTAAATCAAGAAGAAATGAGACAGAGCCATCTATCAACTGTGGATCAGCCAGCAAGATCTGCCAATGTGCTACTTCAGTTCAAGGGTCAGGAGGACTCTGCGGTACAAGAGTGTATTTACTGCAAACTCCTGTCTCGGGACCTTGAGAGAGAGAAGCATATGCTCTGAGACTGGAATGAACAGACAGAGCCTTTTCTTGGTTGAGCAGCTAGCTGAGGGAGCCAGCCTACTTCTGTTCTGCAGTCAATCTAGGAAGATCCCAGCGTCAGCAGGACCCAACCACATGTTCTCTTGCCTCCTCCCTAGTTACTGCTGCCACTCCTTCCCCTTCAAAGGACACAGTGTGGAGCCTCCTCTGTGTGGGATGATGCAGAGTTCAGAGAATGGGGATGAGAACTGGGACAGGAAATGCTATTTTAGTCCCTACTGCCAAGGGCAAGAGCTGCTGAGAGCTCGAGTGTAGGGAGGTGAGGGTACCCTCGCACAAAGGCCCCTCTATAGGAAGACAAGGGTTTGGAAGTACCCTTGACCCCTTCCCCCACTTCTCTCCAAAATAAAGGAAAATAAATCATTTGAACAAGTCTGGAAGATGGGCCCATGTGACCTGTATCCTAGGCAACTCTGCTAGCGTAGTGGTATTCCAAGCAGCAGCTAAAGCATTCTCTCTCCAAGGTCTGATGGAGGGAAGACACTCGACCGATGGATTATTTCATGTACATTTACACCCCTTGCCTATAGGTTTAGGAGAGGCCTCTCTCAATGAAAAAGACCTTCCTCCTGCACCTCCGGGTTTAGCCACTCGCCCACAATCCATGCTTCACTGAGGGAGACCGCCTGCCTCTGCCGCGCCATGCAGCATAGCTGCTGCTCAGCTGTAGTTCCTGTGTGCTATCAACCTTTCAGCCCAAACACAAATGTCAGTTCTCATAGCCTTGTAATATGGGTGAAAGGGTGTAAAAATCCCTTCCCCTACAAACCTCAGGGCTCAGAAAGAGGGAAGCTTTCACGATCATTTCCTGCTCAGGGGAGGCTGCTTAGGAAGTTGGCGGTCAAAAATACCAGCATTTCCAGAACATGACAATGTAAAAAAGAAGGTTCTCAACGTGCTTTCACTCATGTTGTTGAATCCTCCCAGCAACCTTGTGAATTTGGCAGAATAGGATTATTACCGCTCTTTGAAGATGACAAATGAAGCTCAGAGTTTGGTTAAGTTGCCCAAGTTCAACAAGCTAACAAGTAGTGAAGGGGACAGAACGTGGAGCTGACTGGCTAATGCTCTTCCCCTCTCTCCTGAGCTAGCCTGAATTTCTGTTCATGAAAACTAAAGCAAGCCTAAAGGGATTGAAGTGGGCTGGCCTAATGGCTCCTAAAGCTTCCACAACTTTTGCAGCTCCAAGCAGAATTTTTCCACAACGAACCTCTGAATAGAAACTGGCCCCATAAGAATCATCCCCAGTTGAAATGCTCAGCTCTAGTGACACAGGAAGGCAGGGGCAGTGCCATGAATCTCCGGGTGCCTAGGGCAGGCGTCCTTATCCTTACTGGTAAATCTGCCATAACTAAGGATACGACTGCCAGTTGTGAGATCATTTTAAAAACCGAGATAACATTTATATACAATAAAATGCACAGAGCTTATGTATGTGTATATATATGTAGGTACGTGCGAGTGTGTGTGTGTGTGTGTGTATACACACACACACACATAATAAAAACACAGACACACCTCCCTGTAACCACCACCCAAAACAAGCCTTTGAACATTTTCATTACCCTAGAAAATGCTTTCCTACCTCTTTCCAGTCTATCCCCCACCTTCCAGCTCTCCAAGAGTCAACTGCTTTCCAACTTCTACCACTAGATGTTACCTTTGTCTGTTTTTGTACTTTATGTACATGAATGGAACAATATGGCTTCTTGGACCATTTGTCATCTAGTTTGGTTCTTTTTGTTTTTGAAATAAGTAGGCAGTGGAGGCACAGTAGAAAGAGCACTGGGCTGGGATAAAGAAGCAACTGGATTTAGAGCTGAAGGGCTCAGGACCTAGTCACGGCTCCATCACTAGGTGTCTGGGTGATGTGCCCCTTTTACCGAAGTCTCAGTTTTTTTCTAGTGTGAGATGTGACTGTTGGACTGAGGTATGCCTAAGATGCCTTCTAAGTCTGAAAGTCCATATTCCAAAGTAGAACTCAAAAATCTGAATGAGGACTGCTCATTTCAAAGTCCTCATGCTATGCCCTTGTTTCAATGGTGCTGCTAAGAAACAAATTACGTTTTTTGGAACCTCCTTTCTAGATACCATCTTCGGAGAGAAACAAGCTAAACCTCATTAATTTACAGTTCCACTTTACTTTGACCCCATGCGGCATTTCCTAGGTTCACTGTCTCTTTCTTTATTAAAGTTAGTCCTGGGTGACTCCTGGCTGTTCTAAGAATTCATATCCATTTTAAAGCTTGAAGATCTGCAGCCACCAGGACTATTCAGGAGATGCTATAAACCCCACTCTCAGCGATTCTGTCCTTTCCCACAAAGCCCGCAAAGCCCATGTGTACTGAATGACACTCTCCCCAGCTATGCCATAGCTGATGGCACCGGGGTGAACACTCGATCCGAGCTGGACTAGTCCAATGCTTCTTTCTCTTGAACTTGAAGACAGAGACTAAGAGAGTGGGATGGCAATGGGCCCTGGAGCAGAAAGGTCATAGCCAACTTCGAGCAGGTACCATGGCAAGCCAAAGCGACTCATAAGCCAAAGATATGGAGAAGCAAAATCCAAAAGTCTTGGAGAGGAAGCTGCTCTAAGGAAGATTCCAAAAATGTGTAGACAAGTGCAGGCTAGAAATCAGAAACCACAAAGCCCCAGAAAGAAATGGAAAAAGCCACTGCCTGATGACTTTCCAGATTCCATGGTTACACCTCCCACACTTGGGGTAACTGAAATTGCCCTGTATCCTGCCAATAAAACTCCTTTAAATCAAACTAGCCTGTGTTTCTCTTCATTGCAACTAAAAAGCCTAAGACTAAGATTGACCCCAAGCTCAGAAAGAACTCTAAAGGTCTAAACAGGCACAAGATGACAGCATTCAGCAGGTCCCTCGATTAACACTGAATTGATGAAGAGCAAAACCCACGTAGGTAAGTGTTGCTGATTTAAACCAGAGCAGTTCTATGATGACTTTATAGCAATCTCTTGTCTCTAATATTTACAGACAAGAGTTGACTGCTCACTTCTACAGTGTTATTTATTAGAGCGGATGTTCACGAGACCCTGAGAATCATCCCCATTTTACAGGTGAGGTCATTGAAGTTCCGATGAGTTGGAAAACTTCCACATGCCTCTTTCCCGCCCCTCCCTCTCAAAAAAGAAAGACATCACATCAGAACTGGGTCTCAAGGCTGGGTCTTAGGACCTCAAAGTTAGTTCTCTTCCCTCTACATAAAACTCCCTTGGGTGATGAAGATATTACCTGACAATTACATGGTGGTAAGGTACGGTTCTAAGGATTTTACATATAGTTCATTTAACCCACAGAGCAATCCTGTGTGGTACCTTATTACCCCCCAGTTTACAGGTAAGAAAATGGAGACACAGAAAAACGCTCAGCATCACGCAGCCAGAATTCGACCCCACTCCCACCCCACTCTCCCGCCGCCGTAGTCTGGTGTTGTTTTGGGTTGCTGTACCTGAAGCTAAAGCACACAGAAGCTAAGAGACCCACATAACAAGAGCTCACTACTGTAACGGATAACGGTACCCCACCATCTAAGGGAGGTGACCCGCCCTCCCTCAGTGGTTTTCAGTCCTTCGCAATCTAGCCAGACCTCCCTGGGCCACTTTCTATTTCTTTGAGGCAGGCCATGTCCTTCATTTCTTCGGTACTAGTGCATATTCTCTTCCTTCTTTTGACTGTCAAAAGAGCCCTAGTCAAGCTTCAAAGCTCAGCTCAGATGTCACTTCCCCTTCGTACCACGCTTAGCTTTCCTCAGCTTTCCCTAGCAAAATGAAATGGGATAGGAGCCACTGCGTTCTCACAGCATTCTGTTCATTACCTCTATGAAGGCTCCTGTCCCACTCCGGTGTAGGTGTGCGTTTACACCTCTCTCTCTCCTTCACCGGCTCCTCCTCTAAGGCAGGCACAAGCCTGCAGTCTCATAACCTAGCACAGCTCGGCACGCAGTGACAGTTCCATAAGCACCCATGTCTCCTCAAATCCACTGGCTCTGACTTCCTCGACACCTACGAACTGGGCTGGCTCCAAATGGAGAGGGCCTGACATGAACTGTCCTAGATGCTTCGTGTTCCCATCATGTCCCACCACCTTCCAACTACACAGCATTTCTATTGTTTAAAGTTTTGTTTGCACATCTAACGTTAGAACGTGTCTCACTGGAAAATCAGATTTAGCACCCGACTCTAGTTAAAAGAAAGGGGACACAGCCCTCTGATTTTCTCCCTATAGAAACCATCAGGATATCAGAGAACAGAAGTAATAATATTCTCCAGACAGTCCTCCCAGGATAAAGGCTCTCCTTGTGGGGAACTCTTCCAGCACTGGTTTGCTCACGCTTTTCATTTTCCTTTTAGAAAGGAAGTGGAAATTAGGTCGACGCAATTCAATAATATTGCAAAATTCTCAGGGTTATAAATAGCCTCTTGCTCCACCACTCAGCAATACTATAGAGTTCAAGAACAAAGAGTCAAGATAAGGGAGCTGCAGCTCCACATTCAGGCCCAGGAGGCAAAGAAATAATATACCCCTTCCGGCTTAAACAACTCTCCATCCCTCCGCCTCCGATGCCCTTGAAAATATTACAGATATAAAGATGACTTGGAAAATTCAAAATGTCACAAAACAGGAGAGAGGCACACACTGATCTGAAGATAATTCTGTAAAACATGAGAATGGAAGCCCAGGGTTTCCAAGGCAAAGCTGGGGAAACGAGAAAAATAGCAACATCTTTAATGAACCATTCTCTAAGTGGCTTCCAGAAGGTATGCTTCTCAAATCAGCACCGTGGAGCTTTCTCAATCAATCACCCATGCTCAGTGGAGCTGGATTCTGACAGCGGGGTTGGACAGCCCATCTTAAGAAAAGAAGTGAAAGATGATCCCTTCCCATTAATAAGGAATTCAGAATGAAGAATGCCAGCGGTTTCCAGCTCCCCTCCGGCCCCCATTCTTTTTAGGATAAGGATTGACCGGTGCTTTTTGTTCTGTTCTTTTGCTTTTGATCCAGTGGAGGAAGCATGGGTAAGTCTGGTTTATGTTTCCGGCAGCAGCATACGCCACACTAGCAAGGCAACTCAAGGTCACACCCTCTTTCTAATCAAGAACACAATCTCAGCAGAGGCATCTCCCTGAAATCTTCTCATCTGAGAAGTGACTCAACTTCCCTTAATTCAGACCACTGAATGAGAATGAAGCTCTGAGGAACAGAAGAGGGAATTCGGTTGGCAGAGATTCAGATTCTGACATTCACTGCTAGAAACGCCAAGAAAGACCATCAGACCTACAGCGGCTGAGGTTTCTTCTTTGTGTTGAAATTTGTTAGACACCGGACTCTCTCAAACTTGTGGTTAAAAGCCACTAGATAGAACCGAAGTGCAGTGAGAAAGGGTGTGGGGGACAGGGTAACTGGGCTTCTTCCCGTTAACATCCACCCTAAGAATCGCCTAGGTCTCTTCTTATCCTGCTTAGAAACCTCCTGTCGTGTTCCTACACATACAGAATAGAGCTTACACTCCTTAGCAGAGCACTCGGCTTTCCTCCGGTGTGGTTCTCAGGGTAGAACTGGCTTTCAGACTTTCCCTTGTAGGTGCTACATCCGTGACACCAGGCCACCTTGTTCCCTCAAACATCCATCTCCTCTAAATCTGTACTTTTGCTTGAGCCCTTATTCCCTCCACCTTGTCCAGCTGACAAACGTCTACTCATCCTTAAAAGACCAGCTCAGACAACCACTCCTAGATGTGGATTTCCTAGTCCCCTCACCTCAGGCAAAATCCACTGTGCCCTCATCTGTGCTCCCTCTTTTACACATCCCTTCACAATCCCACTGACTGATAATTCTCTATAGGCAGTCTCTTCTCTTGCTACTCAAAGCAGCATCCACA